CGAGATTTTTCAACTGTTAGGATTTTTTGTGTCCGAACTATTCATTATTGGCCACAAAACGGCTCACATATGTCCCTTTCTTAACTTTTATGATTATCTATCTACTGACATTTAATTGGAACAAATAAAGAGATAGAGGGTGGTTCAAAGATTCAGAATTCTGATCACCCTCTGTATCAATTGAAGCTTTTAAAATTGGAAAATGCAATTCAACAGCAGACAACTGTATAAAGTGAAACTTGAGGTTGTAGAAATAGAAAAAATGTATTGCATGGTTAAGAAAAACTCAATTGTTGGAAAAGGAGAATGTATTTAATTAAATAATATATATATATATATATATATATATATATATATATATAGTATAGATCAACACATATATCTATATTTTGAATGGAACTGTTCATTATTTCAAAGTAGAGGTACCAAATTATAAATACCTACTCCCAGGAATATATAGGTACTGTAAATTTGCGAATTTGTCATGTTTCAGATTTTTTGTCGATTTACCTTCAATAATAAAAATTCAGGAAAAGAGTTTTGAAACCTTATTTTCGAGCATTAATAGAAAAACTATATGTATTTCATCAATTTTGATTCTAAACAAGAAGAATATGTCACTAGTAATAAAATCTTTCATTGCCACATGGGACAATAAATATGAAAATAATAATATAGGATGTCCTTTGACTTTTGGCATAAAATCTAATATTATATAGGTCTATTATATACTTTTGCATTCACTTCTCTATAAAAAGACTTGAAGGATAACAACAACAGTTGAATTTGAGGTAAAAAATCAAAACCAATACCTAATCGGAAGAGGTAATAATGCAACATCAAGCAGTAAGTAGAATCTGTTACCTTCTTGAAAACATTCATATAGATACTCCAAGATTACGAAATCCTGATGGAATGGTGCACTGGTGGTCACCTAGGTGGTTATTCACATACCTGAATGAAAAACAATATTAGTACACATGTTTGTCTCAACATACCCATAAAATCAATTAATATCAAAAATGTATTTGTATAAATGCCCTTCGGAATGCTAATCCTTCTACATTATTATCAATATTTTCAAATATAATATTTTCTGCAATATTGACCACATCTTCTGCTTCTTCATCTTCAAAAATATCATTCATCTGCCTTCCAATATTATGCAATACTGCTGTTGCACAAATTATAGTGGCAGATGTCTCTAATTTTGTGTTGAGTGTTCTTTTCAAGCATGGGAATCTTCGCTTCCAAATGCCAAACACTCTCTCTACAATATTTCTTGTACTCCGATGTGCTCTATTGTAATTCCTTTCAGTGACATTGCTTGGATTCAAAACAGGAGTCAACAAGTACCTCTTGCACCCATATCCATTATCACCCAGTATAATACCTGAGATTTAAATAAATATAATATATATTAGATACTTCTCTTTCCTCATTGCTGCCATTAATAGTTCAGAAAATGGAAAAATCAAATCAGATAATTGAAGATGCCCAATGGATATTACCATCTAGCTGATTCTCTTCAAACAAAATTCGTAGAGCACTTTGGGCAAATATTGTGTTATCATGGGTTGATCCTGGATGTCTGACAACAATATCTAAAATTTCCATATTTGGACCACATGCAACCTGAGAGCAAGAGGAGTAGGTATTAGCTAATAGCACAAAATATAAGGTGAACCATTTATAATAGGGACCTGGACATTCAGTGAAAATTGTCCTTTCCTGTTACGGAAAATTTCTCCAATATCTCCACCAGGATTCAAAATTGAGATATGGGTTCCATCAACACAAGCTGCAACATTTGGAAATCCGGCTATTGTGTGAAATTTCCTTATATTTTCTTGTTGGCCATCAGCATCAGGAAAATGTATGAAATTGTTCAAATGTTCTGCCAAAGCTATGGACACCCTTTTGATTATAAATGACATTGATGCCTGTGATATTCCTCTTAAATCACCCCCATCAATCTGTAGCATACATAGGAACAATTTGAAATCATTGAAGGATAAATTCAAATTAATAAACCTTTGGTAAACCTGGGTAATAAACCATACCTGAAAATGACCTGTAGCATAATATCTCAAGCTAGCCAGAAGTTGAATGACTGGTGCTATTGGCAATCCTCTATTGTTGTTCTTCATCAGGGAATGGGTCACAAGTGGTAAGATAGTATCCCTAACTATCACTTTGGGAAAACGATATCTCCTTCTGAATTCTACATCCCTATAGAATGTGAATGGGTCTTCAACATCTCTGATGTAACGTTTAGGGATTCTGTTGATCACTTCGTTCTCTTCTACTCTTTCAATGAAATCAAGAAAATCATCCAAATCCATATTTTCTTGCAAAATAATGAAATGTAACCTAGAACTTGTCAACAACCAAAGACAAAACTCAAAATATTCAAACAAAACACCTGTGAGAGACCTGAAATCTCACCGAAAACTGACTTGAGGAGTGCTCAAGGATTGCTCAAGGTACCCTTCTACCTACCTCGACATTGAAAGGTACTTGAGGCTTCCTTCCAACTCATATGATGACTATAAAACAGAAACTCGTCCTCAAGGAATCCTTGAGGGACGAGGTCGCCTTAAGGAGCGACTATAAATACGGGCCATAGTGCTCTCGAGTGAGAAGTCTCAGCGGCACTGTGGGCGTTTCAACGATGGAGAAACTATTTATTAGCAGAGATCAGTCACCCCCAGTGGATGACTGATGATCTCTGTTATTAAGGAATCACATAATTTTACACACTGAATGTAAAGCTATTGTTTATATTAATACCTGCAGCTTGATGACTCCAAGGGTCACTCGATGGGCACTAGTCTCCAAAAGATTACTTTTCAGGTAGAATATGTCCCAGGGTATACAAATGTGGAAGCGGATGCCTTATACAGACATGCATCATTTACCCGGTTTCCAGCATCATCCGATATAAATGTTTCATCACTACTTTCATGAAATTTCCCGAATCATTCAACAAAATTCTAAAAAATATTAGCCATCATCAATCCCAAGACGAAAATTTGTCAGAAATAAAGCAAAATTTGCTTGGGGATCAAAATAAACTGCAAGGTATGTTTGTAGTTCATATATAGGATGCGCGAGTTAGGCCGACTTTTTCGGACATACTGCAATGAACAACATTCTGAATGGGCCGATGAAGTATCATGTTTTGCAGAGTACAGGAGGGCCAGGTAGCCGTGCGGACAGAGTGTCAATATTCTAATCCGTATTCGCTTGCCGGTCGTGGGTTCGATTCCCATCGACTGCAGAAATTGTTCTGATGGCCCAAGAAAGTGTTTGGGATCACACGTTGAAAGGTAAGGCCCCCGTCATTCCTTGCTCGCACAAGACTCTCGAAGACTTCTGAGGGTTGCTCGTAAGGGGGCAACCGAATGACGAATAGAACAATTTTTAGAACATGAATTCCATTACGCATATGAATCCACGGGCTTTTCCCCCAATGAGTTGCAATTAGGGTTAGCACCCTTACGTCTCTTATCCCAATCCATGGATCATCCTGGGAAAAACCTAGATTCTGAACCTACTGGTAGAAAGTAAACTTAGAGGGTAAGCCGCTTGTAGAGCGATCATGCACCCGGGTAAACCTTATTACAATTTCGCTCCGGAAGATACCTTGTGTTGCTGAGAGCCAACAATATATCCTCGGCCGTGAAAGCTGAAACTGATAAATGTCTCCTTCTTTTCGAAGGACCTTATTTACCTGCAGGGTTTTGAGTCCGATAAAGAAAGGGGAGTTTTCCACGCTAGTCATTTAAAGTCATATGTACTTCTACCAGCTTCAGTTCAATGATGAGTAGATTTTTAACAGAAGCTGTAGGGGAGGGGCAGATATGACAAAACACTCCTACGTTTGTTAATCTGTGGTAGTGTCGCGCGGTTTGACCTTCGATGCGACAAAAACTCTGACGCTGTAAAAAAAGCTTTGTTGTATTTGTATCTTTCTTTTGCGAGCCTTCTGGTTTCTTTTAAAACAATAATTCATTGTTTTGGGGCCTGGTCATTTGATAGGTACACGTTACTCTATGTAGGTATACTCTATGTAGGTATACTATAGGTATAGGTCATTATATCGACGCTCCAAATTTCACAAACCCACTTCATACGATAACTGAGATATTCCGTAGGCAATACTTCCGTAGCCACCCGGTATATATAGGTACATCAAGGTCATTTGATAGTTGTAGATGAATAAGTTGCACGGTGCATCACGGTGGAAGTATAATCAATAAGCATCCATCTGGTCCAATATTTTCCCAAAACCAGCCTGAAGAATCCCTAAGAGCGCCCTGAGATAAAATTTAATATTATAAGAGAGATAATCAGATATGATATGGTGGAGAACCAAAATTGAGTTCAAATACTGGTTCTCGACCAGTGGTGGAGAAGGAAATATGTTCAAATTGGTTCTCCACCGTCAATGAACGAATTGCAGAATAAATATTATTTAGGCCTTATTTGATGGCTGCAAACTCATATTTAACTAGTAGTAAATGAATCATAAAAAATTGAGTTATTCAAGATATGCCTTTTGGCTCTGGACCCACCACTTTAGTGGAGAAATATGACAATTTTTGTAAAATAGGTTCACCATCACTGAATATTCATCAAAAAAATAATATTTGTCTGTTTTTTCTTGTAATTCAGGAAATATTATATCTAGTTATTAATATAAAAACAACTATAGCCAATGCATTCTAAATGAAAGTAATCAACTAGTACTTTTCAAACCTCTGACTATCACATATGGTTATCAAATGGTTTTATGTGCAAAACACACATTTTCTAGCATCTAACCCTATATTAGCAGAACACATCCAGGTATATGATACAAGACAAAAACCTGTTACCTGTACTCTGGTCTTGAAATGAATGAAAGTCATTCTCTGTTATTATTCTTTATTTGGATTTATGTTATAATACAGCACATTTTAATTCATATTACTACTATCACATGCATAGGGTTTCTAGTATTTTGGAGCAGGACTCTCCAATTTGCTGTAATCTACATTAGGGGAGTAGAACTGAAAAATAAAAAGTTATAATTTTTAAAGCTGATGGATAAAGATTAATAGGTAGTTATATTACATTGTTTTCACAGTGAGCAACACATGTGTTTGGCTAATTATATTAGCAGTTTTAGTTTCAAATTCCTCTGGAAGATGGTAACATGAATATTTGTGGACAGGTGAGAAAATCTGTTTGTTCAGTGATGAAACATTGTAGATTTCCACAAAATTCTTCATCACATGACATGTTTCTATTGAAGTTTATTCTTATTAATGAATGAACTTCTATTCAGTGTGAAAGACTATATTTGTAAAACGTTGAACAAGAAAATTACTGACAGTTTTTATATTTCTATTCTGACAAATTTAGCTTAACGTCAATCAGCAGAGTTCATCTACGAGTGTTAGGAATAATCTTGTTTTAACGAATGATTCAACTTGAAAAGAACAATACTTCAACACTTTCCCTTGTTCATTCTTGTTGAATTTTCAAACTAATTCGTAATATTAAAAACAATCTTCATAAACATTTTCAATGTTTCACATAAGGCCCATCTTCACGCATAAGATCTTGAGGCGTATTCTTGTCAATGCTTTTGTCATGATGTCTGCTACTTGATGTTCTGTAGAAATTTGCTGAACGCCAAGTTTTCCTTCTGCCACTTTCTCTCGAATGAAAAAATGTTTCATAGATATGTGCTTTGTTCTGCGGTGAAACTCTGGGTTTTGAGCCAGTCTCACTGCTGCGGAGTTGTCAACTTGGATTATGGGGACATCTTTTAGTTCTATGATTCCTCTGAATAGCCTGTCCAACCAAATTGCTTCTTTGGCTCCCTCGCTTGCTGCAATTATTTCTGCTTCAGTTGTTGAGGTTGCCACAACTGATTGTCGTTGGCTCAGCCAAGATATTGCTCCACCTGAATACTTCACGACGACTCCAGAAGTTGAACGGCCTGTTTTCACACATCCTCCAAAATCTGCATCGCTATAGACTTCTAAGATTCCTACATCTGTGTTTGTGCAATACATTATTCCAAGGTCTAGGGTCCCTGCAATGTATCTAAAAACTCTCTTGAGCCGTATAATGTCCTCTTCATTTGGGTTATCGAGAGATCTTGAAATAAATCCAACACTATATGCAAGATCAGGTCTCGTACCAAGCATCAGATACATTATCGCTCCAACAGCCTGTCTGTGAGGAAATTTCGGTGCCTTGACAACTTTCCCTGTTGTAGAAATTTCTGCACACTTGAGCATTGGTGTAGAAACTGCTTTGCATTCTGAAAAATTGAACCTTTCTAGAATTTTCTTTGCATATGACTCCTGACAAATTCTGATAAACTCTTGTTTTTGTTCAATTTCAAGTTCCAAAAAATAATCGGCTTTCTTCGAAATAATTTTGAACTCTGATTTCAATTCTTCAATGAACTTTTCCAATTCTCGCAGGTCTGTCGCAGCTAGAAGTCCATCATCCACATATATCACAAGAATGAGTTTTCGACTATTTCTATCTCGAATGTACAAGCATGGATCAGCATCACTGGCCTTGAATCCATGTTGTTGAAGAAAGACTCCAAGACGCTTATTCCAGCATCTAGGTGCTTGCTTGAGCCCGTAGAGGCTCCTCTTTAGTTGGCATACCTTGCTGGTTCCGTCTTCATATCCTTGTGGCTGTTTCATAAATATGGTTTCTTCAAGTTCTCCATAGAGAAACGCTGTTGATACATCGAACTGTACCAAATGCATCTTTTCACTTGCTGAGATACTTAGAATTGAACGAATTGTTCCCATCTTAGCAACTGGACTGAAAGTTTCTCGGTAATCAGTTCCGTGACGCTGACTGAATCCTTTGACGACTAGTCTACCTTTGTACTTATTGATACTGCCGTCGGGGTTTCTTTTGAGTCGAAAGACCCATTTGCATGGAATTGCCTTCGCACCTGGTGGTAGATCTGTCAAAATCCAGGTCTTATTCTCATTCAATGAGGCAATTTCACGATCCATGGCTTTCTTCCACTCTGCTGAATCCCCACTCTCTAAGGCATCTTCAATAGTCTCAGGATCATCTGTCACTTGATTTATGAACTCTTCCGCTATCATGATGTAATTTTCTAGATGTTTAGGCTTATTCAAAATCGATCGATCTCTCAAAATTCTTCCGGATCTCTGTTGAAAATCGCATTCATTCTCGACTAATTCCTCATCATCATGTTCTTCTCCTTCGATGTCTATCTGGTCATCAGTATCATGCATTGGTAGCTTGACTTCATTATCACATTCTTTCAATTTTTCTTGGAATCGAACGTCCCTCGAAAGGATTACTTTGTGGTTGGTAGGAATATAAATCCTGTAACGCTCATCAACATCATATCCGACAAGGATTCCTTCCACTGCTTTCCTGTCCATCTTTTTCCTTCTCTGAGCTGGAATGTGGACGAAACAGGTAGATCCAATAATCCGCATATGTTTGATTCTAGGTTTCTTTCCCATCCACAGTTCATAGGGACTGACTCCTACTTCTGACGACTTTCCTGTTCTATTCAGGATGTAAATGGCTGTAGTCACTAGCTCTGCCCATATCGCATCTGGAAACTCAATTTCACAATTGGAGTATTTGAGAGTCCTTGCCATCTCTACTATGGTGCGATTATCACGCTCACTGCCGCCATTTTGCTGTGGCGTATATGGCGCTGTCAGTCTCTGCATGATTCCGCTCTCAGCAAGAATGTTTTTAACATCTTCACAATCGAATTCCCCTCCATTGTCACTAAGTAGCTCACGAATGTTGTGCCCTAGTGTCTTTGCATATGATAAATACTGTTTCAATACAATTTTAACATTTGACTTATGCTCAATTATGAAACCATAACGATACTTCGTGTAACTGTCTTTAAACACTACTAAATATCGCTTTTTACTGAAGGATTCGCAAAATGGCCCTACAACATCAGTCGAAACTAGTTCTCCTGGTTTCGTTGATTTCATCCTAGTGTCAAAAGGTAAACGGTGTGATTTGCCAAACATACAGGGTTCACAAATGTCCCTTACAATCTTCACGTTGATACCCAATTCTCTTTTGAGCATATCTCTCACGTGTCGTTTGTCTTGGTGACCCCATCTCTCGTGATAAAGCTGCAGTGTCGAGTGTTCTGTTTCAATTGTATTGACCCTCTCTACTTTCTCAGGTATCACTGGTTCAATGGTTGCCCTGTACAGGGTTCCTCCAACTTGACGACTCCCACATAATACCGTTTTTCCATTAACCTCCAGCCAGCATTCAGTCGCTGTAGACTGGAATTTGCTGCTTTCATTCTTGTCTTGAGCTGCTAAGACTGAGAATAAATTTTTCGAAATTTTCGGAACATACCATACATCATTCAGAGTCATTCTTAGTGTATTTTCTCCAGTGAAAGATAAAATCTCTATAGTTCCTTTTCCAATAGCTTTGAGAGCTTCTTTCCCAGCAGCTTTGATGATACAGGGACTTTGAAACTCTTGGAAATTGACAAACTGGTCCGGACAATTCGTTACGTGCTTTGTGGCTCCGTTGTCAATCCACCATCCTGTTGAACTTGTCTCCACTTGAAGAATATCTTCACTAATAGAACATAGGGCTACATTAGAATCCAGTACATTGCTCTGAACAGCTTTTTCCTGTGGGGAAACGTTCTTTCGTGGAGGCTTTCCGTCTGCAATCCACTGCGAACATGTAATGATCCAATGCCCTTTCTTTTTGCAATAATTGCAAGTATCATTTGCTTTTGACCTGTGATGTGGCTTTGTTTTTCCATTTTTCACGAATAATGCATCCTCTTTGATGACACTATCTGTTACTTTTCTAAAATTTCTTTCATACATACACAACTGGGTGATTAACTCCTCTACAGTCTTTTCATCACTTTTCGACAATAACATCCAACTGGATCTGAAATTTTCGAAATCAACTGGTAGTATATGCAAAACTTTGCATACTAGGATTAAATCCGGTAGTGCATTTTCATTCTTCGATTTTAAACCGTTGTTGAGCTCATTCCAGAGGCTTCTGAGTTTTGCAACGTGGGTCGAAACATCCTGTCCATTGATCCAACTAAACGCAAAAAATTCTGTACATATTTTGAAGAGTTGATCTTTGGATGACGCTTCAAAATTCAATTTTAGAGCTTCCCATGCTTCATGCGCTGTGTCGTTATCCATTATCTTTTGATATACTGAGTCGGTTACTGAACTCGAAATCATTGATTTTGCATAACTATTTGCTTTACGGAATAAATCACTAGCCTTCTTATGCTCTTTGATTTGGTTATCCGTTGCATCTTCTGCCAAGGGCTCAGGTTTCACTAACCTTCCCTCTATAACATCCACGGCTCCTTCGTGGTAGTCTAACAAGTCACGTAATTTCCTCTTCCAAATTGGCCAATCTCCTTCTCCAGCCAAAGGTTTGATGTGCTTCGCCAACTCCATATTCTGAATGCTAAGACGACGAGACTTCACAATCAAAATTTACTTCAACGTGATTTACACAGGAAAAACGATTTCTTCCGCAGTCTTTCGCACACGCTATTTAGTTAGTACCAACTAGCGTAAACTGGGTCCATAACCTATTGAAGTTTATTCTTATTAATGAATGAACTTCTATTCAGTGTGAAAGACTATATTTGTAAAACGTTGAACAAGAAAATTACTGACAGTTTTTATATTTCTATTCTGACAAATTTAGCTTAACGTCAATCAGCAGAGTTCATCTACGAGTGTTAGGAATAATCTTGTTTTAACGAATGATTCAACTTGAAAAGAACAATACTTCAACAGTTTCCCTAACACAGTAGCTTCATCTGGTGAAATACTACTACAATGAACTCTAGTTCAGTTCATTGTACCCATATTTTACCTGATGAAGCTACTGTGTTAGCAAAACATGCCATGTGATAAAGAATTTTGTGGAAGTCATTGGTGAAGTTTTTGCAATAGGATCATTATAATTAGAATTTGGAAACAGAATAAGAATAAACAAACTTGAACCAACAGAGATAAATAGACACTGGTATAGTTCATACTAAGATTCATATAAAGCTAACTGACACAGTTGTAGATCTTGAGTGCTACTAAGGACATGTATTTTCTACTCTTTCCTAGTGTGAATTAAAATACTGTCTGCAACACATACCACATACTTTTGCATAACACACTGAAGGATATTTGAAACACAAACTCTCCTGGTAGCTTTGAAACAATGAATTCTATACTATACACCATGACCTGACCATGATAAAGTATTACCACATAGATAACATCTGATGACCTATTGCTCATAATAATACTAGAATGGTTTATCATTCAATTGATCCAAAGGTACTTTACCTTGTATTGCTTGGCTCTGAATTCTTCATTAGGGATTTCACCATGGCGGTTCCACTGTACATCAGGATTTCTAGTGGCCAGTCTCAATGTATAAAACACGGCACCAGAACAGCCCAGTCCAACACAAAAGTATAGGGGGATCAGCTTTAATGAAGAATAAATTAATGAAATATACAACAGGCAAAGTTTATATTATAAAATATGTGAATTTCTTTCAGGAGTTATATAACTATATTCTGATACCTATGTACCTAATCTTGATAACAGTTTAAACTTACAGCTTTGTGTTTAGTGAGAGATTTCAAAGTCATTCCTTGCATTTTCGATTAGATTTGATATTTTCGAGTTATTGAATAATATCAGGAAATTGGCAAAATTATAACAATTCAGAAAAATGTGAAGTAAAATGCTTGTTGCAAAATCTCAAAGTCTGACAGTGACAAACATCTGACATCTGGGAGCAATGACAGCATTCAACAATTTCTATCAGGGTTGCCACATTGGCCAGATAGTTATGCACGAATTCAATAATACCTGAACTGGTCCATCTCGACCTAGACTATCTACTAGACTATCTAGAGACAATCCAGTGACTCTACTCGACAGTAGGGTCCCTTGATGTAAACTGACGTATTCGTCTTAAGATGACTTTAATGTCAATTTCCATCAAGGGACCCTACTCGACAGGAAGCAAGAGAGACAAAGCGCAAATAAGCATGCGGAAGCAATACAGAAAATTTCCTGCCGAGAGCTTCGCTAATGGCCGATCCTGGAAAAACACATCATTAAAATAGCGAATCTATCGGTCCCAAAAGTAAATGCCTCCACAGTATGTTTTTCAATTATTCACTTCGGGAAAAAGTAAAAAAAAATAATTTGGGGGAGGACGGATTCGAGCCCATGACCTTTGGTTCATCAGGCAGGTACGCTCTTATGGCACGTTGGATCATTTTGGGAAGTATTGAATTCGCACCATAGTTATATCCATTTGTTTTGCGCATTCGATTCCTGTAGACCAACTCTAGAACGACTCAAAAAGCGACTGTATGCTGATGGCGAAGTGCATTTTTTTAATCCTTTGCAGCGCATGAAAGGGAATCCCTATAATGTTCGAAGAGCATCGTGCGTGCCTTGGGAATATAGACAGGGAGCCAGGGAGGGTAGGTATTGGAATTTTTTCTAAACTTTCAGAGATTGCAATATTATTCTGTTGTATTATTGTTCTGTTAGTATAGTGTGTCAAGGTTGCGACTGCCACGTGAGTAGGAATATATGTATATTTTTAATTTTAATCTCAAGTAATTTTTTCGAGGAATATTTTTTCTTGGAAGAAAGTTCATTTAGGCTGAGTTAGGCTAGATTGTTTGAAAGTAGTAGTCTATCCTTTCTCATGCCGAAGGAATATCTGCTTTCCTAGATAAAGAAGTCTGCTTTTTTTGCAGAAAAAATATTTTTCTTCCTCATTTCATCTATATATTAGCCCACGTCTGATTAGATTGCTTAGAAGAAGTATTTTCTTTATGCATAAAGGATATTTTCGTCCTCATTACCACTTAGTGTCTGTCAACTGTCAAGTAGGCTAGTTACCACTTAGTATCTGTCAATAATGCTAGTTGACACTTAAGTATCTGTCAAGTATGCTAGTTACCAGTTACCACTTAGTATCTGTCAATTAAGCTACTTACCACTTAGTATCTGTCAATCAGGCTAGTTGACAGTTATATCTGTCGATTATAAAAAAAATATTATATGGCGCTTCTACGCTTTCGTAGTACCTCTCATTTTGATTCCATTTTTGACAAGAGTCTCGAGATCATACCCGTGTGTTCACCGAACACGCCCGATCGTTCCCTAAGCGGTGGGGAAACGTAAACGGGCAGCAGTAACTACGTTATGAATATTGGCGCGTGCCTGAATTATTTTGGAGTCAAATTTGTCAATTCAATGTACTTCGAAACGGAACACTAGTAGTTGTGCCTTCTTGTTTTACATAATATATTATAGGTAGACATCAAATCAATAAACATAGTGCTCTCGCCATCGGTATTTGCTGAACTTCGCTATGGGAAAAATGTTGGGATATAGAATGATCTATACAGGGTGTATCTAAATAACACCGAAATAATTCAAGGGATGATTCCTTGTGATATAATATGATGAATAAAGGTCATATAAACATGTGTCCTAAACTTGCTTCGTTTTCGAGGTACAGGGTTACGTCCTGATTTCGAATCCGAGTGTGTTTTTCACTGAAGATTACCTCACTTTGGTCATAGTTGGTATATATATCTATCGCTCCCTAAAATTGAACAGTTACGTTAGATATACGGGTTGATATTCCATTATAGAAGTGACATGCACACTGTTTATATTTTTAAATACATCCAGTGGGATTGCATTTTATTTTATGTTGAATATTAGAGTGTGTTTTTTTATGTGATATATTTGTTTTTTTTTATTTCAAATATATATATTTTTTTAGTAGTCATACTAGTACTTATCTTTTATATATATAATTCTGAAATCTGATCCACCCTGTATTTGTTTCAATTAAATGGCATCAGTAGATAGTAAATAGAATGTTAGGACAGGGACACATGTAAGACATTTTGACAAATCAATATAGGTATTGTATAGTTTCGATACAAAAAAAATCTCGATTTTTCACATTCTACGTAGGTATACCTTGAGCTTGATCAACGAAATCATAGCTCAATTAGAAGAATCGAAAAATGTAATAAAATATAAGGTGTTCCATTTTGAATAACAAAGCTGCTACTATACTATACTACTAAGTACTACATAACTACTAATAATAATTTCTAGTGAAGCAGATGAACATTATCGAAAATAATTTGAATAAAAACGAGCGTCCTCGCCAACAAAACATAAGCATATAATATGTACATATAGTTTAATGATTTTCGATGAGTGGTTCGCTATTTACATGTAGGACTCGTCGTGTCATAGCGAATTATTGCAAATCAAATCATCGCTTTCATTATCTGATAGGTCGCAGTAGATCACTTGAGGCCTATCAAATGTTTCTTAATTATTCGAAAAAAAAAAATGTTGAAATGTGATCAAGAAAACTGTTGGTGGCCCACCCCGTACTACAAAAACAAAGACAGCATGAGAGAAGCTGTCTGCCCACTCATTGTATCATGACTGCCTGCTTACGTCTCGGTCTCCCCACCTCTTAGGTAACGATCGAGCGTGTTCGGTGAACACACGGGTATGATCTCGAGACTCTTGTCCATTTTTGTTGAGTTATCGTATAGGCGATGCGCCATATATAGAAATAGTAGATATATGTGCAGTTGTTATGTTCGGTACAGATGACGACTTTTCGCATTTTAGCTTATAGTGCTTCGGATTCTGATTGATTACAATTAATACTCGCGTTATAACAGAAAGTTCGTTTCAAGGTCAATAAGCAAGAAATGTTGAAACATTTGAAACATTCTATAGGAAAAACCTGATATTTGTCCAGAATACTGAACGTGAACAGTCCGCGCTTCATTATTCATCTTTACGCAGTAAGTTGTAAGCCGTCATATGTACCCTACTTAAGGTTGGATATAAATATAAATCAACGAACTGTCATTGATTATCTGACTTTTGAAATATGTCATTTGTTTATTATCAAGAATATCGAGATCAAGGTCAGGTCCGTCAGGTCCGTCAGGTCTGACGCTGACCCTGCTTGTGATCAAGAACAAGAATAATAAGAATATCAAGAATCAGGACAAAAGATAAGGATATCAAGATTATTCAAGTATTTTCCATAAATCTGAAGTTTTTATTTTCAAATATTTCTTATTAATCTGATTAATATCTGGTATTTTATTTTTTCTATTAAGTTTTTGGTTAAGAAAAAGTGATGGCGAAGAGATTTTCTGTTATGCTTTTGCTAAATTATTAATCTTTAATCAAGTACATATTTAATAGTAAAACTTCCGAAGTCCTTAGAAATGACCGACAATGCATGTAAGGCAAGGTAAGTCCACAACAAATTATTATTATTATTGTATCTAATGTATCCTTCACTCAATTCTAGACCTAAAAGATATGGACTTCTATCAAAAGTTTCCTTGAGTGAACTGAAAACTATTCGGATAGCTGTTAAAAGAAGTAATATTACTGTACAAGGTCCTCCTACCCCTATAGTGAGAAGCATTGATGATCCCAAACGAATAGTACCACTGGTTCATATCAAAACTGGTATAACATAATGTTCTTAATCTTCTCCATGGTTGAGAAATCATAATAATAATAAGAATGATGATTATCAATCAATCAATCTGTGAGATGGTCTGAATTTCAAATTACTTACTGAATAACATTCTCTGCATTCAATAGGCATTCAACCTCTTCAATTCCAAATATGCTGTAATAAAAATTAAATCAACTAAGATGATCTGACATTATATGAGGGAAACAATGTTTCAACATATAATTACTTATGTATACTTGAAAATAGATGTGAATTTAGTAAGTTTACCTGGTCATGCCATATGAAGAGGAAGATTAACTTGGACTTGAATGAAACAAAATAGTATTCCTCAGTTGGTTCCTGATTTGGAAAGTGTTGCATGAATGAAAACAGTTTCATTAATTTCCAAATCATATTGATAAATATGAAGTGTATGAAGAAATGGCCAATTTGCCATCATACTATTGAAATGTTTTAAACTCATAAATTATCCTAATATGTTTCTCCAAAAGAAATACTAGGGGTTATCATCCCCTATCTCTATCCACCAAAATGTAAAATACAATACCTTGTAATACTGGAGGTAGGTAAACCCCTCCTCAGTAAACCCCTGTAACTGTGTGAGTTCCTGAAACAAATAACTCAATCCTCTGGTGAATAGAGAATTACATTTGATGTAGAATATCCAGTAGAATATAAATTTAGTTACATTGGATTTGGAAACATAACTTTTAGAAATACTCCTGATTGAACCAGAAATGAATTTCATCATGTAAACAAAATATAATTTCTTATATACAGTATGTCACATGGGCCTGATTATTAAGTTCCATGGACTAACAAAGTTTGAAAGCTACAAGGTGTTCCCTAGCTCCTGAATCATCTGGTATATAGGCAGAAGGCAGAAGCATATAATTCAATACTCTCACAACAGTTTGAAAATTGAATATTATACCTACAGGCACACTTTCCTAAAAAAATGATGAAAGTTCCTACAAAAAATGGGTCTGGCAAATGAATTGAGTATAACATGTAACATGATTTTTATTCTACAGTTGCTATAAAAATGAAATGGAATGAAATTCTGCAGACTAATATCTTTCCTGATTTGCTCTCTTTCCTTTGTCCTGTCATCACATAAGCATATACTTAATACAAAGTGTGTGCCATTTCAACCAGCAACAACCTCCTAATTTGGAATCCATCCATGCATTTTCAAAAACAAAAGTTCCATAATATAGTATCCTCAATGAGCTCTAATCAAAAATATGGACAAATCTGAAATATTCAGATTTTACAAAAACGACTATTAGGCAATTTTTTCTTCAAAACAATGACTTGCCTATTTGATGCAGGCCTAGCTGAAATACGCCAATAGGAAATTTGAACACAATATCTCATATAGGGTATTGGATATTCAATTGCAGATTTTGATGTTTTGAATTTTTGATTCACCCTGTATCAAAATCTAAGGAGTTGATATAACCAGTAGGGTAGTCATTGTATGGAAGAATACATTGAATAGATACTACTTAGATACAAAGTTTCATTATTGAAGCTTCTACAGGAAGATCTCTAGGTCAACCAAAAACAAATGAAATTGAAGTTGAGAAATGTTTTATTATGATCCATATGTTTTTCCTTGATATATAAATAATAGTAACTCATTCAAGGAAATATTCTCTAAACATACATAACAATTTCCATTATAATCTCAAATTTTCATAACATTTCACCAACATTTTTATATCATATAACCTCCAGAAATTTAAGAAGAACACCAATTCCTACCTTATTTCCCTTGCTTTTCATGATGTTCTCTGAACATTACAGGATATCCCTTTTCGTGGGAACCAGAACATAAAAAAAAACAGCATCAGTTTATCTCTTTGGAGAGTGTTTTGAAATTATCCATTGAATAACTAATGCCCCATATTGTCTTCAAAGTTTGTATGGAGGTATTTCAGATATGCCTGAACCACATAGGCTAGTCACTGTTTTGAAAAATGTCTACTATTCGTTTTTGAAATATTGACCCCTTCAACAAACAAAAGTAGGCCTTGAAAATCTGCATATTTTAGATTTGTCCACATTAACAAATAGAGCTCATTGAGTACTATATTATGGAATTTTTGTTGTTGAAAATTCCTAGCTAGTAGGGTTGAAATCACACACACACTGTATGTTTTAGATATTCCTTTTTCCCTCTTTTATAATTATGTCTTTTTTATCACTCCTCTCTCTTCTTTCCCTTCATATTTGATCATGTCGTTATTTCCCTTCTTCTCTCTGTCCTCTTTAGTTCCTTGACATTTTTTCTGTTGTTAATAAACACTCTTGCAACCATAGGAAATTTTATAGTATAATATCATATATACAATAATGATTTCATTGGAATGTTTAATAGCCAAAGAACTCAACTAAAGAGAAAATTATGAAAAACATTTTCAGAAGTAATGAATTGATATTGAATTGTTTTAAATGTTCTATACTTTTTCTATTTTAAATGATTTTTCACAATCAGAAATATATGAGGGAAGATGGTCAAGGGTTTGTACTATAGTAAATAGTTACATGCTCATTTGTTCACTATCTAAACTTAACCTTCTGCAATTCAAAGTCCTATTGCCTGCATACAGAACAAATACTATTGATGACAGAATGCTCTCTATAGTTACTTATATTTGAAATAATCTTGATTATTGGTGCAGTGGAAACTGCATTCAATATAATGAATGCATAATCTTATTATAAAATAATGAAAAAAATATGTATTGCACTCACATAAGTATAATACAATATTGGCACAAATGGTGACATTCTTATCAAGGTTCTTCTGGGTTCTTCCATGCCACCAAAACTGAATAATCTACATGTTAATGTATATAGTTACACATGGAAGGAAAGTCGTTGCTGACCAGTACGAATGGAACCAGTGTATATATCATGGATAATTTTGAAATAACAAATATTGTTGACGTGAACCATAGATTTGGTGTACTAAAGAGATGTTACAAAGAATTATTAACATTTAGTTCCTCATGGAGTTCCTCATTTACATCTTTTTACACTTCCACATCCAGAAGTAATTGTACCTATTTTCAAGTTTTCAAATTCCCTATAGTAGATATCATTTCATTGAAATGGCCTATTTGAATGTTCCCCAAAATGTTTCATAAAACATTATGAATTTGAAGGAAATTATCTTGGTAATAGCACTTGGTTGTTTATCCATCCAAGTCATATAGTAGAATATTATCAAGCCAGTGGTACATCCTTCAATATGTCAAGAAGTCACTCAGAAGACGCTGAAGCAGCTGTATGATGGAATAATGGACGTGAGTATTTTTTTATCATTATAAGAAAATCATTGTTTGAATATCTAACAGAAAACAATTACTGTCCTGGCTGATGCTACAGGATATTCATTTTCTGATTGATGAAAGGAATTGTTGACATGCCTTATCATGGAGATATAGATTTGAAATATCAGTATTATAATATACACAGTGAATTGTTTATATTATTATAAGAGTGCTTATGAGATTGTTTAAAATTCAGATAGATTTTAAAATGTTGTGTTGTTAGAAGTGGTGTTTAGGAAGGAAACACTTGCAATTTTATTCGTTTATAGGAATAATTGCATAGATTTCAGGAGGATGTAAATGCAATGTTCTGCGTGGCAAAGGCAGCCAGGAAAGTAGTTGTTTTTCTCTCAGTATCTACCATTTTCGATCATTTTATGAACTATTGTGGTAATGACTTTGAGTTGCTCTCTCTTTGTTTGAACAATAATTGTTAAGGTGCTTTGGACGTATTTCGGTCACTTAGGGCGCTTTACGGGCTTTTTCATGTATTTTTACGGAGTTTTACTTTTTGTCATTGCTTGGTTAGTCATCTTTGTAGAAGATGTATACAACTTGTTGTATTATGTTATATGTTACTTCTGCATTCATAAACTGATATTTCTGAAATTTGTTCCTTAAAGACATGCTAATATTTTAGGGGGTGATTCTCTGACTCATTTTAAGAACAAAACTTCATATGAACGTATGTCCTAAAAGTCTTAACTTTTGAGATACAGGGTGATGAAGTTTCGAAAATATTCAGTTTATCTACCAGTGACACCGTTACGGGAAAATTTTACTTAAAACTGAGCAACGATGAAAAATTTTCAAATTTTTATACCATGCTATAAAAGGCTATTTAATAATGTACAAAAAAGATCATCTTGTTGATACTCCATAGAACGTTTCGTTTTCGAGAAAAAACGGAAAAACGCGACCAGACTTCAAATTTTGATGTTTGAGTACATCCATTAGTTGATTGACATTGGTAGTTACTCTCACATTATTATATAATATGATATCGTTAAGTTGGTGTAGATGCATTATGTATAAACTGTATCAATTGTCATTATAATAGGATATTTTTTACTTGATAATTTGTAAGAATTACATAATTAGGCAATGTCTGACTGTCTGTTTCTGAAATAAATGAATAAATAAATGAGTCGCACATAACAGAGGAAAATAATTTTTCATAAACATTTATTTTTTGTGTCACTAATCGACGAATCGATGAATCAATTCAGTCACATCACATTTTGATCAAAAATTCATTTTTTTTTTCATAGAACCCCCTATGGGCCACCTACATGTCTTTCTAGAACACACATTAAGGAACATTTGTATTTTGGTACAGTAACAAATTGTGTGCATCAAAAAATCAACAAGTATTTAATGAATGTCCTTTTTTATTTCGAATAATTTAATTTTTTTTCGAAGAAATTACATTTGACATAAAGATTGCAATTGTTGAACTTGAATATGTAAAACTATACATGGTGTTCCATTTGAAAAACAAAGTTGCTGGCATTTCCGCAAAAACCGGAAGTCTGCTATATTGGATTGTAATCTGATCAAATCCGAAGTTGTTGACACATATAACTGTACCCAGTGGCGTAACTTCATATTTCGGCCCCTCCCTGCCAAAATCATTTAGGGCC